TTTTTGGTCTTTGAATTCAAAAATATTCACAGTTTTTCTCTATTACGTCAAGTTTTTAAGCTACAGCATACCCCTCCTTTTACCTTAAAAGTGCACATTAAAAAGGGAAATAAGGTAAGATCTAACCAAATAGATTAGAATATTTTAGTCATACAGAGGTTAATATATTAAAAGCTAAATTGTGTTTATACAAAAAATAATAAAAAAGGATATTATGGTAAAAATTTCCTCTTATAGCTTTTCCTGGAGTGTTCAATTTGTGGGCATTCCCGCTTGATGCCCCAACAGTAGTCAGCCATCATACTGACATCCCATCTGCCTTGATATCGCACCTCCATAACCTTCAGATCTTGGTGAAATAGCTCGCCTTGTTCATCACTAACAGCACCAAGATTTTCTGGGAAGTTAGCAAGAGGGCTATGTAAAAAATGCACTTTGATGCTCATGTTGCAACCAAGCTCCTTAAAGCTCTCCAAGAGTTCAACAATTTGACAGGGCTGCTTAGACACTTACGACGAGAACTACCAGAGGAAAATCCATAACGAAAATCTGTAGTTTGTGTATAAATAAAATTTAAACACGGTTTATCTTATGTAAAGAGAAAAACATAGACTCCACTTCAGACTTTTACTTCACTATATGACAGTGACACACACCCGCGTACTTTAGCATCTCCTGCGTAACCAGTGCGTAACTGACCGAACTAGTTACTTGTGTCTAGCCCCAGCAGGCAACTATTAAGCCTGACCAATCACGTTAGAGTTTTTGACAAACACAAATGAATTAACACCCTCCAAATAACCACGCTAACCAACGTGATTGGTCAAGCTTAATAGTTCCTTGCTGGGGCTAGACACTTCTGAACTAGTTTTGGATGACGCAACGTCACTCACGTCCCAAGTTGAAGAAGGTTCGCCGTAATCGCCGGTAGGAGAGCAGAAGTGACTTCTGCGATTCGCATTCATCCTGCGAAGCGTAGTGGCATGCACAACAACTGTAGGGGAAAAAACTTGACGTGATAGGAAAAAACTAAATACAGTTTTGGAATTAGCATGTCAATTTACTTATAAAACAGCTTAAATATCGAACTCAACAGAAATTATTTTTCAAATTGTTCCCCAGTGTTATTATTGTTAATAGAAAACACATTTCTTGCAGTATAGGTATATAATAAAATTATATAAGGATTCTTGCCACTTAACTGCTTATATAGAAATTTAATTCTACGCTGTGTTTGTCATAATGTGGATCAACCTGCTCTCACTACCGGTTTCGGAGCCCTACTCCATCATCAGGTGAGCTTGGGCAGATCCACAAAATGATAACCACAGCGCAGAGATAGTTAATCCCGACTTGTCGGAAAGTGTTGGTTAGAATTAGACAAGTCGGGATTAACTATCTCTGCGCTGTGGTTATCATTTTGTGGAGCTGCCCAAGCTCACCTGATGATGGAGTAGGGCTCCGAAACCGGTAGTGAGAGCAGGTTGATCCACATTATGACAAACACAGCGTAGAATTAAATTTCTATATAAGCAGTTAAGTGGCAAGAATCCTTATATAATTTTATTATATACCTATACTGCAAGAAATTTGTTTTCTATTTTATAATTTGGCTTGCCTGAAAAAAAAGCCTTTTACCATCCCTTTACTATCGATAGTTGCGCCCCGGTGGTACGAAAGTACTACCATTGCACGCAGGCCGCTATATCCCGTTCGGGACTTAATATCTAACCGACACTTTCCGACAAGTCGGGATTAACTATCTCCGCGCTGTGGTTATCATTTTGTGGATCTGCCCAAGCTCACCTCATGATGGAGTAGGGCTCCGAAACCGGTAGTGAGGGCAGGTTGATCCACATTATGACAAACACAGCGTAGAATTAAATTTCTATATAAGCAGTTAAGTGGCAAGAATCCTTATATAATTTTATTATTGTTAATCTTCTTGTTTATTTTTGTTGATTTTAGATAAGTATTTAATAAAGATATTACAAGAATATTTTGCTTAATTAAATGAGGCGAAAAATAAGAAAAACCGAGTGAGGGAAATGGGTGAGGGAAATGGAAGAGGGAAGGTAGATAATTTGACACTTTCAAATTTTTAAAAAGTCAGTAATGTCAGAATTACATATGTGGTTGTAAACATGTTGTACATAAAGATATATTACTGTTCTAAATATATGCGACAAGGAATATCCCCAAAAACAATTAATATAACAGAATTTGGTTTTATTTTATTTGAAATATTCACATAACACAGACAACAAGCCTTTGTGTTGAATTTAACAACCCTATCGAACCACTTGCAAAGTATTTCCAGAGTACATATTCTTCTGCACCTACCGGGAGATGGCAGCCTTTTGCGTTGCTTTCACTATGCGAGTGTCCCATGTGAGCCTTTGATCAAAATATACACCAAGATACTTTGTTTCTCTTGAAAATGAAATCTCTCTGTTCTTTTGGTGCTATATATTTTTTATAAAGTTGGCAAATTGTGTTTTCTGATCATTTAGTGTCAGTCTTTACATTGTCCAGGGCTGTTTGCATTGTCCCTGATATTATCACAACAAATTTACCTCTGACCTCTAATTGTGGCCACCTGTTAGCGGCAGCCTAACATGATTTTTTCTCTTAATATCTCCGGTTAGAGAGAAGATAGAAAGTTACAGTTTGTGCTGATATTTTGGAAATTTTGTGCTCTATTTAACTGTGCAAAGAGACATATAGCCTTCTATTTAATTTTTTTTGCAAAAGCGCAATATCTGTTATGATATCAAACAGCGCCCTCTAGCTACCACGAAAAAATATAGAAAAAAAATTTATACTGGATATCATTAAGGAAGAAAAGCTCTTTTAAACGAGCCCTAGTTTGTTTAAACCGGTTAACCTAAACCAGAGTTATCCCTATTTTAATAAAAGCTAGTTTAACCCTAGTCTGCACTAGTTTGGACAATAATTTTTAGGTCGAAACGACGCGACGTTGGGTGCCGACGTTAATTTAGTACAAACTGCAATGTTGTTTAAAATCTTAATTCACAGAAATACAAAACTATAATAATATGGCGTCTAAGTCGCGTTTTATCCTAAATTGTGATAATTATAGTAAAAATATTTTTTTTATGATTTAGTTAGAGACATATGCCAGATGGCAGTAAAGGAAATCAAAACAAAAGTATTTAAGTGTGTGAAGGATGTTTAAAGATCATAATTATTGAAACACTTTAACCGACTCTGTAACTCGTTACCCAACTCAAAAAAGTTAAACGTAAACAACTTTATTGATAAATGTATTGTTTCTACTTTGAAAAATACTAATGGGCCTTAAAATTAAAAAAGTTTTAAAAAATTTCTTTAATTTTTTTTAGTAAAATGAGAATAATTTATTCGCAGTCGAAAAAATTGTTTCCGCGTGTTTTTTAGGGTCAAATATTTCAAGTTAATGCATTCAAAAAGCAGGAATTGCTATTTTAGGAACGAAACATTTTCTTATTCAACAACATGGCGGCTTTCACTTTGTTGTTTTGGAGATTAAGATGGAGTAGTTCGAGTAGTCGCATACTGGACTAATAAAGTCGCAGTTTAGTCTTAACAGGTAGTATACTAGTCGCAAGATTGCCTAATTTAGTCATCCTAGAGTCTAGCTTGTGCCGCCCTCTATAATCTAAATAAACGAGGGAATGGATAAAGTATCGGTAATATGTCGATGTATATTTAAATTTAATTTGATATGTACCTTTCTTATGTAGCATTTTAATTAAGTTTTTTTTATAAAAAACAAAAACAGCACTGAACTGTCTGACTGAACAATGAAATGAAAATTTAAGATTTAAGGTTATGGTTCAATACAGTTGCAAAAAGGTAGTGGCTCGACGTCCTACCAACGTAAGAATAAGGAAATCTAAACAACGTCGGAGTTAGTAAAACAGACGACATTTGCATAACGTTGAAATAGGTCCTGAAAGTGACGTCGGAAAACTCTTTATTGCCCAACATTGTAACTACGTTGTCCGAATCACCTAAAGATTACTTAAGAAAAAAAGGTTACAAGACAACGTTTATTCGACGTCGCAGAAGCTTTTACTTTGTTAGTACTAGTTCAACGTCGGCACAACGTCACAACAACGTTTACATTTATTTTAATACCCAAGGTACGGAGCTAACTATTTTTTGTAACTAATCCAACGTTGTGTTTAGTAAACATATGGTCGCAAGTCGTGAAAATGATACTTGGGTATGAGATGAAAAAAATACAAATTTCTAGATTATTACAATAGTAATATTTAAATACCTGTTCAATTGCATATTTTTGAGAAAAACCCTGTTTTCTGACTGGCTATCAGAGAAACGCCCCCTAGCGGACATTTTTCGAACTTGAAAATAATTTCCAACGGTTTCTCTTGGTCGATTTACTTATTAGAATTTTTTTCGCGAAGTTATACGATAAGTAGTTTCTGAGATACAGCCGGCGTCCATTCTTAGTCGGCCACCCGGTATATACCCATACATCGGAAATCGGAAGAAATAAAATAATAGACCAACTTGTTTATAAAATTATATATTAAAATATAAACATCACATGACCGATAAAGCAGTACACAATCACAATTAAAATGAGAAAGAGTTAGAGAAAATAAATTACAAAATATTGTGACCTAACAGAGAACTTTAAGCATTAAGAAGCGTTAAATAATAATATGAGAAAATATGTCCGAATCATACGTATTTTTTTACTATGCGTACTGATTTCTCTGTTCCATAAATAATATATTCTAAAATTATTTATGGCATTAAAAATCAGTCGAACGTTTTTTTCGCGGTTTAATTACAAATTTACAAAATCGAGTTAAAATTCGTTGTTAATATAGTTTATGTAATATCCACTTCAATATTAAAACTAATTTTTAGGAACTTATAACTAGTAGGGCAGGAATTATATGGAATATAATTAACACCTAATGTATATATAAATTAATGAAAATATATAAAAACAGTTCCGTTTATGAGTAAAACTAATGTTCAGTGGAAGTCGATTGTCCTTAATGTCTTGTACCCTCGGATCTGTGACATTTCTTGATATTCCTGAAAAAATAAAATAGGATTAAAATAGAAATCTTTTAAAGAACGTCTTAATACAACGGGTGGTGCGTCGTTGTTGAAAATCGGAAGACAGGCAAATTTTAAACTGTCCAAATATTGGCTTCCTTGTTTATTTGACAGCGAGGTCGTGCACATGCCAAATTTGAACAATTTTGGACAAAACGATTTTAAGCAATTTAAGCAAAAACTGAACAGGTCTAACATTGCAAAACCAGGCCAATACCAACGTACCGTAAGTTGTCGACCTATGATTTTGTCAATGTCAAATTGTATTTTCAAAACGTCAGGCATTTGCCTCATTCGAACTAGTTTTAAGTTACAAAAATGGCATTTCGGGGACACTAACCGTAGGTGCTATAGGCTTAGAGCGTTTCAATTGAAATCAACAAATTCCGACCGCAGCGCTTCAACGGCAAAAATCTGAAATTATCAGTATACAGGGTTGTTCACCACATACGATAGTCGTATTGTAGCTAAATGATTAGATTTTTACAAATTCTAAGTTTTAAGTTCGTTGAAGGACTATTAGAGCTACAATTTAAAAATATTTTTACAAGATACAGAGTGTCCCAAATAATATGTATAATAAGTATTATGCCATTTTTTATCTATCTCTTCAAGTTTTCGTAGAAAATAGATTTTCTTATAATTTAGATCTCATTTATCAATATACCCATGGAATATTGACACTTTAAATTGTTTTTAAAGCAACAAATGTACAAACTGTACAGGGTGGGTCAAATTCGACGCTTTTAAATGAAAACACCCTTTTCTATAGGAGATAGACGAAAACTAATAGCGGTGTCTGGAGCTCAATTTTTATCAAAAACATGATGGTGTAAACCGCACATCAATATCTGTTACCGTTTCGGAATTACGGGGTGTTTTTCAAAAATGTGCATTTTTAACAAATCGCTGTAACTTTTTTGCTATAGAAAATTTTGTATTTCTATGAAAACATTTCCAAAGCACCTTTTTACGTAAAATTTAATGGTTTAAGTATATTTTTTTTAAAATTAATAATTTATGAGTTATCAACAGAAAAATTAATTTTTTATTTGGGACACCCTCTATATTTTTAATTAACTGAAAAGAATTTAAAATTACCTTTCCAAAAATATAGCACACTTGATATTTTGTTATAATCCCCTTCGAAATACAGAATTTTTAAAAGTTCGCCACTTTTAACTAGTAGGCTTTGGACCCCTTATTGATGATATGCCCTTAATGGAACTGGAAAATATATTTTTCCAGCAAGACGACGCACCGCCTAAGAAGGCTGAAGTTATCAGCAACTTTTTGCAGCCAATTTCAAGAATAATTGAATAGCTAACCAAGATCCCAGCCGTTGGCCGTCGAGGCCGCTTGACTTAGGGCCCATGGATCTAATCCTATGGATATATTTGCGGAAGAATAAAGGTTCCTTATTCTTCCGTATAATCTACACAAGAATTAGAAATATTTAGCAGTTATGAGAAGGTATCTTTCACCCCCACTGAGTTAAAGAATTCCGCGAGAAATGTTTTAAAACTGTCCATAACAGAAGACGGTCGATATGTCGAACAGCAAAATCTCATGTCTTGGTTTGCTATTTATTTTTATTACCTATTAGATATACTTTAAATGTGTTGATGTTGGTTAAATATATTTTAAATTGTTATAAAACTCTGTATCTCTCATAGCAAATATTATTTTCCTTTTAATTGATGCTCACAGCTAGATTTTTTTTGCATTACAGCCAGTGCCGTTCAAAGCCTACTTATTTAAAGCGGGCGAATTTTTATATACTCTATATATCGAAGACGAATCGAGCAAAATATAAAGTGTGTTATTTTTTTGGAAAGGTAATTTTAAATTCTTTTCAATAAATTAAAAATATACAGGGTATCCCATATAAAAAATCAAATTTTCTGTTGATAATTCTTAAATTATTAATTTTAAAAAAATTATACTTAAACCATTAAATTCTGCATAAAAAAGTTCTTTGAAAATGTTTTCACAAAAATACAAAATTTTCCATAGCAAAAAAGTTACAGCGATTTGTTAATAATGCATATTTTTGAAAAACACCCCGTAACTCCGAAACGGTAACAGATATCGATATGCGGTTTTCACCATCATGTTTTTGACAAAAATTGAGCTCCAGACACCGATATTAGTTTTTGTCTATCTTCTATAGAAAAGGGTGTTTCCATTTAAAAGCGTCGAATTTGACCCATCCTGTACAGGTGCCAAGAATGATAATATTACTAGCCCATTTGTAAACAAAAAGAAAACTATTTAAATCTTTATAAAAGACTATATCATTAATTAAATATTCCACCATTATTTCCGCCCAAATATTAATTAATTACATACTTAATTGTGTTAGTTAATAAATTATTATAAATAAATGTGGATTTGAATCAGAAATCAATATAATAAGTTATGATAATGAACGTCTCTGTTGTTATAAATAAGCATTCATCAAAAAGTGAAATAAAATTTTTAAGGTGTTACTTTTTACCATACTGTCTAATACACATACAAAATTCAGTTTTATAGTATTTGAAGCAATTATTATTAATCAACGCAAACAGTCAATTAATGTAGTTTAAATACTGGAATCATATTAATTGGTCCTCTTTAACAAATATTTAAACAGTTTTATTATTTTTTAATAAAATAAACTAACTATATCGACAATATTAGTATTCTTTCAAAATTTATTACATCTTTAAAAATAATCTAAAATGTCAATATTCCATGGGTATATTGATAAATGAGGTCTAAATTATAAGAAAATGCATTTTCTACGAAAACTTGAAGAGATAGGTAAGAAATGGTAAGTACAATTTGATAGACAATTAAATTGTGCATCTGATTCCCATAAAATATACAGGGTGTTCCATTTAAATTAAACAAGTTATTGCCGTTTAAAACTAGAAATAATTTAAAATCATTTTTAGACACTCTGTATAAGGCAGTATAATTTTTATTATTGCAACACAAAATTTAGTTAATAAAAATACTTCAGTACAATATTTGGTTTAAAAAACTTAAATACGCCTAGAAAAATGAAGCATTAAAATTATTACTTTATTTTGACAAAAACCTAAATATTTCAAAAACTGTAAGATTAAAAATGCGGTAAACCGTAATCAAATTTACCTTTATTTTAATCGTAGAAACTAAAAATGTAATAATATATAGGGTGTTCCATTTTAAAAGATACAGCTTTGATATTTTTTATTTTTTTGGGACACTCTGTATCTTGTAAAAATATTTTTAAATTGTAATATTAGTCCCTCAACGAACCTAAAACTTACAGTTTGCAAAAAACTAATCGTTTAGCTACAACACTCCTTGTCCCATGTGGTGAACAACCCTATATAAAAACAAGCTATTATGCTTTAAAAGCGGCCGGACGTCTTTGCAGCCACCCTTAGCTGTAAAATTAACAGGGGAGCTAAAATTTGCATGGGATTTCCTATGTTTCCGACAACAATATACCACCTGGTATATAAGTTAAATATCGTATAATCAATCTATTAAATTTTGATGGAATAAATAAAAATATAAATTAAAAAAAATATATAATAAAAAATAAAAGTAAAAAAATTAAAAATCATAAAAATATGGGATATTTATTGAGTTCTAAATAGAGTGATTATACGATTTATGTTAAATTAAATAAACAATGCTAGATATTAATAGTATTATTTGATTTCTAATACTAAATTAATATAGTCTACTACTGCTACGATGACTCTACAATAAGTAATGAATAAGATCAGTATCTACTTCATTTTAATAAATATGTATCTATGAAAGTCATGCAGATTTTTGTTTTTGATAAGTATCTAATATACTAAAGCTGAAAAAAATATGAATAGTATTATAATGTTAATAAATATGTGATGTGGGTTAAATTAATTATAATCCGATAGAGAATAAAAGTAAAATATTGTTTGAATAGATTAAAGAATTAATAGTCTGTACGAGGTTCATTTAATAATCATTGAGACTTTTAGAAAAAAAAATATTCAAGTCTTCTAAAACTTCGTAATACAGATAAATATGAAAATATTCCATTAAAAATAGTATAGTTCTTATTTATGTAAAGTCCGTTCAATGAGTCAGGAAATATTTCGACAGATGACATCCAAAAAATGACAGAAAATTCAATTTCTCTGTGAATTAAAATGACAAACAAATCTGTAACTGTCACATATCCTCTTGTTGAACAGACTATACGTATAAGATAGAAAACATTAGAGGTAAGTATTAGTTGTATAATATGTTCAGTAAAAGCCAGAAATTACAGAATGTTATCAATTACACATTATTCGTTGGCCTATTCTTATTGTCTTAGTTATTTATTCATTGCTCAAACATTTTGAATTTCAAGAGCTTACCTACTTTTGTGGTGTTGGAATAATATTTCTAAAATCTTGAAGTGAATCTTAAATTTGTACGATTGTACTTGTATTGAATTTTTTTCTGTATACTTATATAGTCTGCTCTAAGTTAGTAGCATGTATTAAAAAGAATATATAAAGGTATTTTTAGTGTTGAAAATAATATAATAAATTGTTATAAAGATCTAGAGTACTAAATGGTATAAGAAAAAAAAATGATAGAAGAAAAGATTTTAACCAAATATAAATGATATTATATACTAATAAAAAAATCTTATTAAAAATATAAATAATAAGAAATAAATAAAAAGGAATAACCGCAATAGAGAAAGTGAAATATTAAAAAAATAATTCAATAATTTATTCGATAGTTACCATTGGTTACTGGAATTTCTAACAATATTGCTTTACAACGTTTATTTTTTGTAATTAAAATAATGAAATTTCTTTTAGTAAAAATCTCTTTAGTAAACTCTGGAGAACTTTTTAGGGTTCCGTACCTCAAAAGGGAAAAATGGAACCCTTATAGGATCACTTTGTTGTCTGTCCGTCCGTCAGTCTGTCTGTCAAGGCGCTTTATCTAATTATTTATAATATTATAATTAATATTATAAAATCTGCAAACTAAAAATATTTTTTACATATTATAGAAGAGTATGTTTTCATAACTAGGTAGCATATGATAGCTATTTTATATTTTGCTATAGTTAATATACTAGCCCTGGTCCCTTTATTTCCGTGGTCTGTACTTTAATGCATACGCGAGAGATAAATATATACGACCAGTTGACAGACAGAAACAAAATAAAAAGCGGCATACAGTGTTGCCGGTTCATACGAAAAATGCTTTGTATTTAAGCTATTCTATCTGATGTTGAATCTAAGCTATTCAATAATGCTCATTTCTGTTAGACAGTTGTTTAAGAATCTATTGTAGCTGTAGTAAAATGAGTCACTAATTGTGAAAAATAAAGTTCCAATCATAAATGCAACATTTTTCGTAAACACCTACTTTTGAGGTTTGAAATTTTGATGTAAAATCCGGTAATATCGCATAGATGAAATGTATCAACCTAACTTTTATCTCTTTTTAATACTTTTGATTTTTCATTTAAGCAGTCTACATCACTGTTTTACACGTTAAAATCCAGATCGCACAGTTTTGATAACCACAGATCGGTATCGGTAAAATGCGTATCATATACTATCTAGTTATGTAACCCTACTCTTCTGTATTAAAAATATTTTCAGTTACTTGTCTTTTAGATTTAGTTCTTTTCCTGTAATGAGAGTTTATCAAAACATAAATGTTTAAGTTGCTGTACTCCACGATGGGAGGTGAACTTTTTTCGTTAAGTGTGTTTTGTTGGGCAATAAAATGTATTTACAATAATAGTCACTAATGGACTTTGAATTAAATTAATTTCTATAGAAAATAAATATTCATTTTTGTTTTAGTAGAGATATTTCCAGATTTTTTTTTGCAGAAATGAATCTACAACAACCACTTAAGGGCGTAAGACTGTAACGTTTTTAGTTCGTTACATGTCTTTTTTATATATAATATATGATGTCTGGCATATCGTCACCCGATTCCGTATCGTTCGGGCCTGATAATTTATTTGACGAATTTTTACGTTCTCTAGTCCACAACCCTGTTTTCGTTTGACACAACCCTGTTATCGCTCTGTGGAGGCGCGCGCTGTCAACGTCGCTTCTGTCAACTCTCTGTGATTTAACTTCACTTTTGGTTAGACTGTTTGGCCGTTTTTTATCGTACTTTATTTAGAGACTTATTGAATAAATTTATCACCAAGTCACAAGCAAAATTTTTCGAAAATGTGACCAAAAACCCTATTAAATCATATTAACTTCTAATATAATATATTGGAATTTTTGAAATTTATGATTACGATTTTACTATTAAAATGAACAATTTTAAATGACAGATAATATTCTTTAATATATGTTTTAATAATTAATTTTTGGCTTTGCGATAGAAAAAATATAGACAAAATCATAATTCTAAGTAAATATGTTTTTTCCAAACTGTCTACTTTAGAGTAATATTTTCAGTCTGTAAATAATTCTTAAATACTCGTATCTAAGTTGGTAAGATGATGGAATAAATTCTATAGGAAACAATGTAATAAATCATACATGGGTATTTCGCCACTACAACATAAAATAGTTATTTTTTGTAAACACTGCTGTACTTGTCAGCAGGTTTGGTTTACTGATAAACAAATTTGCCTAACGAACAAAAAAAATGCTTAACGTTTCGGAAAGTTTATCTCTTTCCGTCGTCGGAAGCAAAAAAATGCAAAGAATAAGGAAAAAAACTGTTTAAAATATTTAAAACAACTATTCGAGAACACTTTAGTTTTTTTTAAACAGATATGTCTACAAAAACCGTTGACGTTCTGTTAAAATAAATGAAATAAATGTTACAGCTTAAAAGCAAATCATCTTTCATATCTTATATTATGGCCACAAATTTTGAAAAAAATTGCCTGTGAGCATCTTACGATCATTTATTAATTTGCTGGAATCTTAAGTGTGATGCAATCGTCATATTTCGTAAATCAGACTGTATCTGGGATACTGATCGTCTCATTCACTACCTAAGGCGAATCATCGAGCCCTAAACCGAGTAGTACAGTCAAGAGCACAAGCACGGGCACTCGTCTTCCTGCGCATACGCGTGCTTGTGGCGGCGCCGCCTAACGGCACAAGCGGGTACGTACGCTGTGGAGATCCGATGCTGCGTCACACCGGAATCTTTCTGCGCCTGCGGCGTGGCTCGGTGCTGCGACTGCTGCTGGCCGTAGTGGTGGTGGTGGTTTCTGGCGGCACTCGAGTTATGTCGCGTCGATGAGCTGCTAACGGTCTCTAAGAACATAAATAAAGTGATAATAACTTATTATTACTTCTTCTTACAGTCCCATACTCTCTACAGAGCGTAATATCTCACCCATGGGGAAGTGGGGTCAAGTCAATATTGACGACTACTGGGACATCTTTTATCAGAATCTTCCACAAAAAGATGAGTACAGGGTGGCGCTCCTCATGCGACTCGGAGGCTCCAAGGCGAACGGTAATTTATACCGGAATGAAATTTTTGAAGCAGATGTAGGTTAATTTAGAGCATTTTTTAAAAATATAGAAAGCTTTACAGGGTGTTCCCAAAAAAAGTTACGTATCAAAGATTCTAGGAAAAATATAGAGGTGAGTTCCATTAAAGAAGCATATCCCTAAATTGTAAGGTTTTTGACATATTTCACATTTTGTGAAAATGAAGAATAAATTTTAAATTTCAAATAACAGCTGTCTAAATTGTAATTTATCCTGTATAGCCTGATATTTAGTTAAAAGAACTATTGTACATGAAACCAAATTAAAATTTGACCCGAAAAGTTATACATTTACATATATATTATTTTAAATGGAACACCCAGTATATTTTTCCGGTGTCCAATGGGGAATTTTTATGATTATGCGTGAGTAAATCTTTATTATTTGAAAAAATCTAGGTGGCTGTGATATACCTTTTATTTTAAATGGCGCACCCAGTATATTATTCTGATATTCAATGGAGAATTCATATATCTTCAAAATACTATTAAGGTTGCCCACCCCTTCGACGAATATTTTTGTAAATATCTTTATTTTTTTAGGATAAATTTCCATTTTCTGCAAATTTCTGACAATATTTTTTATTTTAACTGATACAAAATAATAACTAGTTGTTAAAGGTGGACTAATTTGACAGCTATGTTGAAGAAACATCAGGTATCTCACAGCCAGATAGATTTTATCAAATAATAAAGATCTATTGACGCTAAATCATAAAAATGAAAACATTTATGAAAGTTTTTGTTTGAGGGGTAGGCAACCTTTATAGTGTTTTGAAGAGACATGAATTCCCCGTTGAATATCGGAATAATATATACCCCCAAGGTGTCCCATTTAAAATAAAAGAGTAACTTGCTTGTAAAGGTGGCCAATGTTCAATATTAATTTTGTCTGACCCTGTATATTTTTTGGGCAAGTTTTTTGTTTGATTTAAAGAACAATAGTTATTTTAATTACATGTTAGGCTATGCTAGGTAAATTCCAATTTAGGTAGTTTTTATTGAAATTTAAAATTTTGTTCTTCATTTTTAGAAAACCTTAAATATGTCTAGAACCTTACATTTTAGTCATATAGTTCTCTAATGAAACTCACCATTATTTTTCTGCTAGAATCTAAAAATCAATTAATATATTTCCATTACAAAAAATACAACTCTCTATATTAAAAAAAATGCTTTGAATTAACCTACAAATGTTCACAAAAGTTCCTTTCGATACAAGCTGTCGTTCTCCTTCGAGCCTCCGCGTCGTATATGAGGGGCGCCACCATGTATAAGTCGATTGTAAAAGGCCAAAAACAAAAAAGGGTGTTAAGTCTACAACAATATACCATACCTTTATTGCTACTGTCCCTTTTCGATTGACTTCTTGATCTCGATTCTTCGTTTCTCGTTTTCGATCTGTCTCTCGAACATTTATCGGCTGTACTTCGTATCGTCGAAATGGCAGTTTTATGTCTTATTTCTGGCAAACTTCCTAAAATCCTATAGCCAAAATTAAAAAGCGTTAATTGAATGTAAATGCTAATAAAATATTAATATAATATTACTTTACATTAATTGCTTTCTTATGCCCCCTACCGCCAACGAATTTATATTACAAATAATGAATTTATGTATATCTGCTATATTCTTTGTCCTGTATCAGAATAGAATTTTTTTAAGATTTAAGTTATTTTTCTGCTTTCCAAGAGCTTCTTTTGAATCATAAATTAAAGTTGTAGAAAATGTTGGGTAAAATTTTGCATTTTTGGTTTATGCACGAAAATGTTCTTTATTTTACTTAACTTAAACAAGTTCTATATTGTTTAAAAAGAAAAACACTCCAGAAGTAGAGTTTGAGTTTTATCAAATAACAAATGTTTACTGTAGTGCAGAAAATGTTACAATATAACATCTACTCTAAAATATAACAAATTATTATTTTAATATATAATAATAATAATAATAATAATAGCTCCTGTATATAGCGTTTAACGCCTTGGGAGTAGCAAGGTACACTTTGCCATTCTAGAGCCGTTCGGTATACAAGGAAGGTAATGTGGCTAGAGCACTACGCTTCAACCGCCTATTATTACCTAAGGATTGTGAATCCCAAGTACTCATTTAAGGCTGAGTCGACCTAGGTACCCAAACTACTTTTATTTTAATAAAAATAATCGGCTGATGCAATGCCGGGTGTGGAATTCGAACCCACTACCTTCAGATTGGTAGACGAGAACCTGTACCTCTACGCCATCGCCACCGGGCACCTTATTTTAATATATTAGTATTTTAATGAAATACGCTCTTGGATGTTTCAAGTCTACTGAGAGTAATTTTATCTCTACATATTCGGCTTGTTAGGCCTTTTTCAAGAATTTCTTAAAATTAACCATCTATAAAGATTTACAGACGGTTAATTTTAAGATAATCATAATCGATTGTATGGGCTCCATAGCTAGATAAAAAACGGTGTTGTTTTTGGAGGTCTGCTTCCCGTACTTTTTCTTGATTTTTTGGGAAAGTCAAATGTTAAAGCACTAAGCAAAACATAGACACTCATCGAAATTTCATTCAACTCGAAATAACGGTTCTTAAAATATCTCAAAAATCGTGTTTATTTTTCTAAAGTTTGAAGCCCTCTAGCGGACAAACGAAGCACTTTTGTATAGAGGTAAATTGTATCCCATAAATTTATTTTGTTTCCAAAAATACGTAGTAGTTCTATGTCCACGGAATATTGGGACACCCTGTATATTTGCTATGGGGGTGGGTTTAAGGAGTTTACAACAGAGACAATAAAAATGTGTTTAAAAATTCTTGTTGTCGTTTACATTAATAATGAATGTCCTCCAATAATTAAGGAATAAAAGGCACGTATCCTCAAAATCTAATATTACAAATTTTTGATATGAAATTGTGAGGATACGTGCGTTTTATTCCCTCATTTGAGGATATTAATTAAAATGGGTCAATGGACGTTTGTTAAGTTTACATTATTATCGTTTTTAACTGATCTCAGCGATCGTGTGTAGATCACATAAGCACATAAGTACACTACCGTGTATAGTCGTGTATAGTGCACTACTGTGTATAGTACACTACCGTGTATACCCTGTATAGTCATTGAACAATCACTGAAATAGGGTTCACCGGAATTCCTGATGTTTATTGAATTCGATCGTGTTATAGTCTAAATGTAGTCTCCTAATAGTTGATTGTTATTATATTAATATTTCTAGCTGTTCGAGGTAAATTAAGCTTCCGCTTTTTGATTTTCTATGCAGTAATTTGATTGAATTTACATTAATTGTGTGACTATTTAAAATAAAATGCTTTGCTAGACCGGAACTTTGGAAATTATTAATAGATCTTCTTTAATCTTTATATCTAAATTTTTATCTGGGTATAATATACAGGGTGGTCCGAATTGTATTCCGGAAACTTCGGCAGCATATTTTGTAGATAAAAATAAGTAAAAAAGTTCGTATAAATGTATGTCCTAAAATGCTTAGTTTCGAAAATACAGGGTGTAGAAGTTTCATTTTTATTTCGATTTTTTTCAAATAATTTCTGAAGTAACGTCAATATTTGGATGAAAATTGGTGTCTGGGAGTTTTTTGACATGAGAAATTTGATTTTGATGTTAATGTGACTCCTACTTGTAGAGGGCGCCACCTACATATTTTTTAACTAGTTTGAAGAGTAATAACTTTTCGTCCGTACCTGTATAACACTCCTGAATAAAAAATATACATTTTCGTCATTTTTTACGTAAAAAATGTCTCTACGTAAAAATCGCTAAGAGTAATGGTTCTCGAGATATTTAGAATCGAATTTATCAATACCTATTATCATTGACATAAATTAACCATGTTGACTAAATAGTTACTTGACTGAAATCATAAATTTGAAATGTTTTTGTTCCAAAAGTTAAACAGAAACTGTTTTATCATAATTTTTTTGCAGGAAAGTTTGTGATTAATTTAAAAAAAATAAAAATTTCCCAAATTTATTATTTCAGTCAAGTACCTATCTACTCAACGTGTTTATTTTTTGTCAATAATGACATGTATTGACTATTTTCATTTTACATATCTTGAGAACGGTTGCTCGTAGTGATTTTTACCAATAGACATTTTTTACGTAAAAAGTCACGGAAATGTATATTTTTTCAGTCCATAGTTTTATACAGGTACGGACGAAAAGTTATTACTCTTCAAAACAGTTAAAACACATGTAGGTGGCGCCCTCTACAAGTAGGAGTCATATTGACATGACAATCAAATTTCTCATGTCAAAAAACTCCCCGATACTAATTTTCATCCAAATATTGACGTTACTTCAAAAATTTTTTGAAAAAAAAAATCGAAGTAAAAATGAAACTTTCTCGCCCTGTATCTCCGAAACTAAACATTTTGGGACATATATTTATACAAACTTTTTTAATTATTTTTATCTGCAGTATATGCCGCCAAAGTTTCCGGAATACAGTTCGGACCATATAAGGCATTACAATTATCACAATACACCCGCCTTAATTTTGCCTTTGTTAATTAATAACATTGACCCCCAGGGCCGGACTTAACGAAGTTGCCGCCCCAGGCTATAAAAAATTTGCCGCCCCTAACATTTTTTTTAATTAAAAAAATTAAGGATATTAAAAACATTTATTTTAATAAAGGACCAACAACAGAATAGACCGACAGAACAGATCAACACAGAACATAAAATAAATATTAAAATATTAATATAAAATGACAAACAAACGAACAACAAAACTATAAGGTTTGCTTATATGCCTATAAAGGTTTCCTACGTACTTTTTTGTTCGCAAAATTATCAATTACTTCATCGTAATTGATAGTTTTTAAAAGGTCGGACTCAATATGTAAAACTGCCAAATGATTTACACGTTCTGTTTCCATAGTGGACCGTAAATAAGTTTTAATATGTTTCAAAGCAGAAAACGAGCATTCAGCAGAACAAGTAATAAAAGTACATGAGAAGATTCCTAATGCTATGAAAGTATTTGGAAACAGGTCTTGAGCGTTTTTTCATAAATTATTTTAAGAAGCTCTCTAACAGATGGTTTTGCTGACTTAATGCATTTTATAAATTCACGAAAATGTATTAATTCATTAGGCATTGACTCATCTAAATCATTTGGATAACAGGTTATTAAATGTATGGACTTATCGGTAATGTCGTCAATACTTAACGTAGATAAATCACTAAAGAAACCAAATTTGGTTGAAAAGTCATTGTAGGCACTTTTCCTGTAGGAAAAAAAATTTCAAGGATTAATTTATCAGTAATAACATTAAATACATTTATCCTAAAATCGTCCCTAGCGTTAAATAGAGTTTTATTATCACTGGTTTCATCAAATTGTAATTTCCGTTTCACTTTTCTCTTTTTATCTGCCGCATATTCTTTCTCACCGAACAATTCTATGGCCCTTCTTTCATATTCCTAGTATTATCTATAGATTTCTAATTTCAGAAAAATATTTTCCAATGAGCTATATAAATCTACAGCAAGTTGTAGATCAATATCCACCATTTGAAGCTTATGTAATTGGCTAAGGCTATTTTCGAAATATTTTATGAACAAATAAAAGTTAAAAAAAAAGATAAATATTTTGGTATGCTCAAAATTTGCCGCCCCTAAAAATCTGCCGCCCCAGGCCCGGGCCTAGTTGGCCTAGGCCTAAGTCCGGCACTGCATTGACCCTCTTTTGACATTTGAATTTACTTTTATTTACATTAATAATTTTACATCCTGTTTTATTAAGATTGTTATTTTGTTGGTTAAATAAGGAATATAAGTCGATAATTACTATTGTCTTTATTATTGGCGGAAATTTTTCATTATAATTTTCTTTTGGTTTTTCTTTATCATATTATCAATAAGGGAACACAATTTTTGATGGCGATTTGTTTAATATTAATCTCATTTTGAAAAATCCCTGCGCTCGGTGGAATCGCTATCACTAATAATATATGTTTTGAGTTTTTAATAATATAGCATAGTTTAATTTACCTTTCTTCGTTTTTCGCATTCTCCACTTTCTCACTCCTACTCTTCCTAACAGACTTCTTCAATTCCAAACCATTATTTATCGTCAGTTGCGTCGCCTTAGTCTTCTTGATCAACCTCGGCTTCCTATGAGGCACTTCAACAGTCGCGGGCAAATCCTCCGAAGAACTCCCATGCGATTGAAGCAACGCTTCTCGACTCGAAGCTCTTTGCAACCTCCTGGCTTTAGTAGATGCCTTGGTCGAACTGGAGTCGCTAGAAACCTTCTTTTTTGGCTTCTCCTGTTGAGGTTTTGAAACTATAGTGTTCTGGTTTTTCCTTTCAGTGGAGGTAGTTTTTCTTCGATCTTTTGATAGACTTTCAACAGATGAAGTTGACGATGTTCTCTTTACTCTTACTTTAGCCGCACTGGCGAGTGTCGGTCTCATGCGTGCTTGGTTCTTCGCTTGAAGGTCTTGAGCGGTGTTCTTCCAGGATTTCGTTTCTGATATTGTATCTAAAGGTTGCCTAAGGTCCTCTTCATCTGAGGTCAGTCTGGTTCTACAGTCTTCGTCGGTGTAGCCGTTTACAGCTTGTAATATTTGATCCGCTGCCTTAGTTAATTCGTCTAATATACTAGAATCAAACTCTTTCTTGCTGGTGTATTTTGATTTAGTGGATTTCCTGATAGGTTTCAGGTTTTCGTATATGGGTGATGACGTTTGTTGCCTGTCCGGAGAAGGTTTTCTAGGTCTAGTAGGGGAAGTGTGTTTGTAATGATTTAAAAGATCAGGCTTATCCGATATCTTGTTATCCTTAATCACAGCCGTTTGAATCGTGTTTTTCGGTGAAGATTTCGATGAAGCGTTTACACCAAAATATGTCATCTCTGACTTTTTTGGTTGCCTCAAAACGACATTTTCGTTGATGTATTTCGATTTTAATTTACTGTCGGTTATATTTCGATATTCTTTGTCGGAAGAATAGTCTTCGTGTTTTGTTTCTACGAAATTCTCTACTTGTTTTCCTACTAACGAAGGACTAGAAACGTTGCCTGTCGTGGAAGAGTCAGTCGTTTTGACAGGTATAGTTTTTCTTAAAACTACAGGAGAAAATTTACTTCTGGTCGCAGGTACACTATACTTTGTGTACGATCTGCTCACTTGACTGGAATCGGTGGAATTGACGTACGATGTCACTCCATCGGAATTTTCTGAAATTGAATAAAACAAATATTAATTTACAAAGTAGATGTGCTTAATAAAAATATAAACGAAATACAGCCAACGCAATAACTTTACTTATTATATTCTTTGGATCATTTTCATGTATTATATTGACTATACTACACTCACCAGCAGTTTACCATATGGTTCTACTGATTTTTAACACTTTTTGCGAATTAATTGCAATAAATAACAAATTTTGTTATAAAATTACCCACTGAAAAATTGCAGATAATTCTTGTATTCTTTTGCAAATTTGTTAATGTTTTTTATGAATCAGTGATTTCTTCAACTACGTCTGCGTGAGATAGAAACAAGCTGAATCAAGCAATCCTTTTTCGTTTTTATGTCGAATTTGGCCTAAACGTGTATACTATATATACAGGGTGAGTCTTAAATAAGTAAGGCAACGGCTTAGCTACGTTGAAACACCGGTTCCCATTACAACACCGAAGTTAAGCGACGTAAGGCGATACTGGTGGATGGACGGGTGACCGGTTCGAAACTCTCTATCGTGCTGTTGTCCAAGGGAAAAGTGTAAAATCTATTGATACACACTGCTCATTCACGCCGGTTCGAGGCCGGATGAGATCGGATATCTCGTGAGTAAGAGTTGATTTAGACACTTCCTAAGTTGGTAGGCCATTGACCATGATATGGCCGAGGACAGCGGTTCGGATTCCGCGTAAACAAAGTAGGCCCCGTCCAGATTAGCCGTGGCAGAAAAAAGTAGACGTTAACTGAAATCTTTACTTTACTTTACTTTACTTCTTTCTTAAATAAGTGCAAATATTTTTAGGGGTAGTATATTTCGACCCTAGGTACGTAAGTTTTTTGAATTTTTAGTTAAAAAACATAATATCTTCATAATATGGTAACATAGGTAGTAGATTAAATTTACAATAAAGAAAACCCAGAAAAGATCGAGATGGTTTTCAAAATTTAAGCTATAGAAATCAATTGTTTTTGAAAATTTCACAGTAAAATATCTCAGTTATTTTGGACTTATTTGACCTCTAACTGAAAATGCCTACAAGAAACCATTCGAGGTGACTAAGATGAATCGAAAAATGTGGACAGATACAACATTCCCTCAGGACGGGCTTTGAATAAGAAGACTAAGGAACGAGCATATCAAAAATCTTAGGTACACCGCGATGGGCCTCAAATATGGCCGACTTAAATTCCGGTTTATCAGTGTCGTTCTAATTTTATTTAAAAAATGTAAAACTATGATGTAGGGTAGACGTGGGGTAGACTCAATAATTTGTTGTTTTATTTTACGTTGTGAATAAATGTTGGTAGTTATTAAAATTGTTATAAAATATATAATTCTAATAAAAATAGATAAGTTATAATAAGTATTTATTAACACAAACATCCGATACGCTACTGAAGCATGTAAGTCAAATTAACGTATCTAAATTCTTTGACATCTAATCTTTGACAAGCAATAAATAAAAGCTAAAAATGCAACAAAAATATATAATTTAGTTAATTTAAGTGAATTTCATAAATGATCGGTTTACTACACGTATGTATATTATATAGTCACTTACTAGCGAAAAGTTGTTCCATTATTTCACTCAATTTTTGCCGAGATCTACCGCACGCTACACAACCAACTATTTTAGAGTCTTTTTCGATAAATCGCGATAATGTCACTTTATTTTACGTTGTGAATAAATGTTGGTAGTTATTAAAATTGTTATAAAAATATATAATTCTAATAAAAATAGATAAGTTATAATAAGTATTTATTACCACAAACATCCGATACGCTACTGAAGCAGGTAAGTCAAATTAACGTATCTAAATTCTTTGACATCTAATCTTTGACAAGTAATAAATAAAAGCTAAAATGCAAGAAAAATATATAATTTAGTTAATTTAAGTGAATTTCATAAATGATCGGTTTACTACACGTATGTATATTATATACTCACTTACTAGTGAAAAGTTGTTCCATTATTTCACTCAATTTTTGCCGAGATCTACCGCACGCAACACAACCAACTATTTTAGAGTCTTTAAATCGCGATAGTGTCACTGTTAATTTAAGTGCTGCCACAATTTCCATCTAGATTTACTACCTTTATACAACTATCAGTAGTAGAATAAATAATAAATAACATAAAATAAGCTCCGTAAAGACTGACAAATCCACAAAATTTCAAATCAAATTCAAATGTGTCAAATGAATCGTCAAATAGAACTGTCAAGAATCCCCACCCTAAAGTGCTTTTATGGTGCTTTTTCCGCCCACCATGCATGAATACATGAATAGCATTATGCTCCTTCCTTAGTCTTCTTATTCAAAGAGGACGGGCTAACCTGGTAAAGAGACGGATATTTAGGGAAAAACCAAGAACAAACTTATCCTTCTCTTTTTGTACAAACTCTTCTTCGAAATCTTGCCAATCTAGAATGTGTGAGAAAAAATAATAGAATAGCTTACTCAGGTAAGCTCATCAATATACAGGGTGGTCCGAACTGTATTCCGGAAACTTCAGCAGCATATTCTGCAGATAAAAATAAGTAAAAAAGTTCGTATAAATGTATGTCCAAAAATGCTTGGTTTCGGAGATACCGGGTGTAGAAGTTTCATTTTTATGTCGATTTTTTCCAAATAATTTATGAAGTAACGCCAATATTTGGATGAATATTCGTGTCTGGAAGTTCTTTAATATGAGAAATTTGATTTTGATGTCAGTATGACTCCTACTAGTAGAGGGCGCCACCTACATATTTTTTAACTGGTTTGAAGAGTAATAACATTTCGTCCGTACCTGTATAAAACTACTGAGTAAAAAAATATACAGTTACGACGCTTTTTACGTAAAAAAGGTATCTTGGTAAAAATCGCTACGAGTAATGGTTTTCGACATATTTGGAATCGAAATTATCAATACCTGTCATCACTGACATAAATTAAACATGTTGACTAAATAGTTATTAGACTGAGATCATAAACTTGAAATGTTTTTGTACCAAAAGTTCAATAGAAACTGTTTTATCATAATTTTTTACAGAAAAATTTATCATTAAGTAAAAAAAAATAAAAATTTCCCGAATTTATTTTATTTCAGTGAAATAACTATCTACTCAACGTGTTTATTTTTCGTCGATAATAACATGTATTGACTATTTCCATTCTAAATATCTTGAGAACGGTTGCCCGTAGCGATTTTTACAAAAAGATATTTTTTGCGTGAAAAGTCACAGACATGTATATTTTTGTCCTCGGTAGTTTTATAGAGGTACGGACAAAAAGTTATTACGCTTCAAAACAGTTAAAACACATGTAGGTGGCGCCCTCTATTAGTAGGGGCCATATTGACAACAAAATCAAATTTCTCATGTCAAAAAACTCCCAAACGCCAATTTTCATCCAAATATTGACGTTACTTCAGAAATTATTTAGAAAAAATTGAAATAAAAATGAAACTTCTACACCCTGTATCTCTGAAACTAAGCATTTTAGGACATACATTTATACGAACTTTTTTACTTATTTTTATCTGCAGAATATGCTGCCGAAGTTTCCGGAATACAGTTCGGACCACCCTGTATACTCAGATAGTCATTTAAGTCTCGTCAGCCCAAAAAATTAAATTATTTTAGGTGCGGCATTCAAGGTAGCAAAAAAGCTGACAAACTAGCAAGGAAATTATCATCGACTATCTTGGTCCAGAGCCTGTACTGGGAATACCCAAATGTTTAAATCGTGGAGCAGTAAAACTCTGGATCAGGGAAAGCACTGTCCACTGGAGAAACAGGTATGGGCACAGGCATAGCAAGGCCTTCGTTCAAGAACCTATTCCTAACACCTAATAGTCTAAGAGCTAGCAACGTTTTCGAGAAAGTATTTTAAAACGTCTGGCTCTTTGATATATTTTTTACTATGCCTCTCTGGAACATGCGGCCCGTCTGACTGCCGATACACGTTGCGTTTACTACTGTGCATCCAAAGAAGATCCTCTATTTTTTACTTAGCGGTTTAAATTCTAGTATTGAATAAAAACCGAGCAAGTCTCCATTAGCCTGGGGCGTAGAGCTTTTGCCTATGAAGCGAAGGTCAGTGGTTCGATTCCGGCTGAGGTTGCAACTTTTTTTAATTTTTTTTTTCTGATAGTAAAGTATTAAATATTTGTTTTTTTTATCACCAGAACGGATAGCGTTTATGGGTTTATGATCCCTAGTGTATATAAGTAGAATTTGATACTTTCATTTGTTTTGAAGGATTATTGTGGTAATTAATTATTAGATAGGTTTAGGATGGTCTGGCTGCCGCGCCGGTAGGTGGCGTTCACTACTGCGCATCACATGGGTACAGGGTGTCTCATTTTCGTGCGTTTTTTGGGATTTGGGATATCTGGGATTTCTCGTTTATGAGTGGAGATACAATGATGCGGTTTTTTTTTCACATTACTTTGCTAGTTTTTCATGTAACTAAATATTTTACCCCTAGATTTGTGCATTTTCTACACATTAACATTAATCAATCTTGTTTAGAAAGTATTATTATTATTTTATTTAATTTAATTTAACCAGATAATTTTGTTTTCCATCGTTATCTTAACAGACTGAACTGAAAATAAACTTATGTAGCTTTTAGATAACAATCTGTTAAAAAAAGTATTATTAAAATAATAAACAACAGCTGAAAAAAATATTTTGAAGAAAGACAGGCAGAAATTACCTTAATAAAGCATTAAAATGCTAATTTTTATATATTATGTTTAAATCTTTAAAATAAAATTATAAACGAGAAATCCCAAAAAAACGCACAAAAATGGGACACCCTGTACACATGTGATGCGCAGTAATGAACGCAACCTACCGGCGCGGCAGCCAGACCTGCCTAATAATTAATTACCACAATAATCCTTCAAAACAAATGAAAGTATCAAATTCTACTTATACCCACTACGGATCATAAACCCATAAGCGCCATCCGTTTTGGTGATAAAAACGCAAATATTTAATACTTTACTATCAGAATATAAATGAAAAAAAAAAGTTGCACCCCAGCCGGTATCGAACCACTGACCTTCGCGTCAAAGGCGAAAGCTCTACGCGCCGAGCTAATGGAGACTTGCTCGATTTTTATTCAATACTAGAATTTAAAGCGCTAAGTAAAAAATAGAGGATCTTCTTTGGATGCGCAGTAGTAAACGCAACGGGTATCGGCAGCCAGATGGGCCGCATGCTGTTCCAGAGAGCATAATAAAAGATATATCAAAGAGCCAGACGTCTTAAAATACTTGTTTTCCCGACGTTGCTAGCTCTCGTACTATAAGCTAATGCTCAGCAGGGATAAAGTGCGGGTTACAACACGTCTTTTTACAGGACATATATATGTCAAATGCTACCTGAACAAGCGCGATGCTGTATGCGTCGCCGAATGCCATGTGTATAGGTGGGTATTCACTTGCAATAAAACACTCCGAACGAACCAAACGCGCCGCGCGCGCTGTAACAAGTTTGTGTAGTCAGTACGTTGCGCCGAACCGAACGGAACGCGCCAAACATTTTCCGAAGCTTGTCGGTAAACGGGATTTGCTCAAAAGAATTTGTTCGTTGGCCGGTGTTCAGTGGATACGGCAGTTTTGAACGTTCGTTGTGTTTGGGGTGTTTTAAACTGTACCTAGCTATTGAGTGGAACAGAGAAAAGTGTTTAGAGTTAATTGATGAGTTTGAAAGGCGGCCTATTTTATTAAATCAGTAATAATTATTAAATTAATTAAATTCTTCTTATGCATATAATCTAGGTCACTAAGTAAGGCCATATTATATTGACGGCGCTAAAAGAGGCGTCTTGCCCACATTTTTCGTCCTTTCCTTTTATATTCCGCTATATATTTCCTTTTCCGCTATAATTAAAAAAGCACCAGCGGCTATGGTAATATCAGATGCATCCTTATCGACAAACACACTAACACTGATTCACACACTGATTACTGGTGGGAACGCAGCGAACACCGCAAACAGGCGGAACGCTCCGCGCAAAATGTTTTGTTGCAGGTCGTTCAGAGCGCTCCAGGAAAATGTTTTGTTGCAGATTGTTTGGAGTGCGCGGCGCGTTTGGTTTGTTTGGAGTGTTTTGTTGCAAGTGAATACGCACCTTAATGTACACCTTAAGGTACAATTTAACTACATGATTTTTCTGTATCTGAGATACGCGCGTCTGGGATACAGCGTCTTCGTCTGAAATAGGTCTAAATGTCACAAAACTTTGCTCACTGGGAAGTCGCAGTGTTTGCGCATAGGATGGTCCTTTAATATTGAGAAAAAAAGCTATATTGTTGCTGACTGTAGGTGACATAACAGTGTTTTTAAATGTAATTACTTTTTACTTACACTTTATCAAACCTAACTTACTTTAAGATAACGATTTTTGAATTTTAGCAGTAATATACCTTTTTCCTCCTTAATATCACCATTTTTGAGATCAAATCTTGATTTAACAGCCTTAAAACTACTCCTGCCCGTTTCGCTAAAGTTCCTAAACGCCTTCATCTTACTCCAACTACCCGAAATGACGCTGCTAGTGTCGCTCTCCATCATGTTCACCTCGTCTTCAGTGATGCGGCTCATCAGTCGTTGGACTTCTTTGTCGGCGTCACTATCGGCATCGCTAGGGACGTCTTCGTAAAGTTTTTTCAGTGCCTTCGATAGACGAAAATTTCGGTTAAGGATGCGCAAATAATTCCGTTTATCTGAACAACACTAATAACATGTTTCAAGTATGCATTTGGCAGATTGATTATTTTTGAGAAGTGACTTCTTTTTCAGTCTGTAAATTTATAATATTTTTGAATAATGTACCTAAGTCAATATCTGTTATTCGGAACAAAAACCTTGAAAGTACAGGGTGGCGCCTCTCATACGCCGCCGAGGCCCCAAGGAGAACGACAGTTTCTATTGAAATGAAATTTTGTGAGCATATGTAGGTTAATTCAGAGCACTTTTTAAAAATATAGAGAGTTCGACAGTGTCCACAAAAAAGTTACATATCAAAGTTGTGTTTTTTGTAATGGATCACCCTATATATTAATTGATTTTCGGATTCTAGAAGAAAAATAAAGTTAAGTTTTATAAGGGAAGTATATGACTAAAATGTAAGGTTTTTGACATATTTAACATTTTCTAAAAATAAAGAACAATTTTTAAATTACAATAAAAGCTACCTAAGTTGGAATTTACCCGGTATAGCCTAATATGTAATTAAATTAACTATTGTACTTTCAATCAAATAAAAACTTGATCTAAAAAGTTATACAGGGTGAGACAAAATTAATATTGAACATTGGCCACCTTTAAAAGCATGTTACTCGTTTATTTTAAATGGAACACCCAGTATATTATTCCGATATCCAATGGAGAATTCATGTCTCTCCAAAATAATACTAGGTTGCCTACCCCTCAAACCAAGATTTTCCTAGATATTTTCATTTACATGATTTGATATGAGTAGATCTTAATTAATCTTAATTTTAATTAATTTGCCGAAAATGCAAACTTATCCTACATCAGAAAGAATTGATATGATTCATTAGTTGGTGAATGCAGTGTGCATTCTCCAATTAATAGAATACTTAAATGCTCCTGATTTTATCTAGTCTGGATTTTTTATGGGGATATGTTAAATACAGTGTTTACAAAACTCGACCAACTATTGTCGACAACATGAGAGAAATTATTGTAGTTGTTTTTCGAGGTAGAACTCCACATAAATGCCTTTCAAAAATGAAAAGATCCTTTTGAAAAATAATCATATATGCAGTTAACAGGAAAGGAAGCATTTTAAGCATTTGATTTCATCTAGCTAATTTTTGTCACATAATTATAGGTTTATATCTAGTTTTAATTCTGTAATAATTAAAATATGTTTGAAACGTGTAACTTTTTATTACCGTTTGAATATTTTACTCCACAATATTTAATTTTTGTTAAATTAACAAAAGGTATATCGCAGCCATCTAGATTTTATCAAATAATAAAGATGTACTGCGGCAAAATCATAAAAATTAAAATATCTAGGAAACTCTTTGTCTGAGGGGTAGGCAACCTTAATAATATTTCCCATTGAACAGCGGAATAATATACTGGGTGTTCCATTTAAAATAAAGGAGTAACTTGCTTTTAAAAATGACTAATGTTCCACATTAATTTTGTCTCACCCTGTATAACTTTTCGGGTCAAATTTAAATTTGGTTTAACATACAATGGTTACTGTAATTAAATATCAGGCTATACAAGGTCAACTAAAATTTAGGTAGCTGTTATCGGAATTTAAAATTTACTCTTCATTTTCACAAAATGTGAAATATGTCAAAATCCTTAGATTTTAGGTATATGCTTCTTTAATAAAACCCACCTTTACTTTTTTCTTAGAATCCAAAAATTAATTAATATATAGGGCGTTCCATTAGAAGAAACACAACTTTGATGTGTAACTACCGTTCTCCCTGGAGCTTCCGCGGCGTATGAGAGACGCCACCCTGTATTTGTTCTTTGATCGAATAACCGAAGATAATCAAAATGTATTTGTATTTGAAAACTTACTTTTGCATACGTTATATAGTGCTGTTCAGATACAAACAAATCGAAAGATCTACGTAAAGTTGATTAATGTTGAACGTGCAAGTACCTCTAACTGCTCCGGAATCTTGTTGTCACCGACCTCTTTCTGATCTTTGATCGTGTTCAGAACCAAGGGCGTCGATTTGAAACTGTGCAAGCGATCCGATCGTTTGAATTTCGTGTAAGCAAAAGCTGGCGGCGGTTGTGCTTCCCCTGTCTTCCCGTCGCTGGTGGGCGGTGACGGTGACAGATCGATGGTGATCTTGGTGGTGGTGGTCGTATTATTATTCTCTCTGGTGGTGGTCGTTTTCGAGCGCAAGGTATGTTTCGAGGCGGAATCTTGCCGGCCTATTCGGACGACCAGTCCCTTGTTAAGGATACGTTTCGAGTCTGTAAGTTGGAAGGAACACCGTGTCATAGACGGAGTCGCTTTTCTTATTAACTTTTTTACCCGTTGTCTGATTCTAAATATTAAGTACAACTGTAGGCCTATTTGTGACCTGTGATCGTGAATTCCAAATCGAATATTTGGTACCTAGAACAGTACTTTGATTTTTAAATACAGGCTGGTCCAAATTGTATTCCGGAAACTTCGGCAGCATATTCTGCAGATAAAAATAGGTAAAAAAGTTCGTGTAAATGTAGGTCCTAAAATGCTTAGTTTCGGAGATACAGGGTGTAGAAATTTCATTTTAATTTCGATTTTTTCCAAATAATTTCTGAAGTAACGTCAATATTAGTCACTGGGAAACACAAATCTCGAACATGTACCAGAATCGTGGACGGTGAGAATAAACCAATCCTAACCGAACAAAAACTAGAGGAGGTATGGACCAATTACATAAGGGAACTGTTCGATGACGGTGGCCCCTCTTTTCACTCCCAAATAGAAATCCAATCCAATCACTCCCTAACCGAACAAAAACTAGAGGAGGTATGGACCAATTACATAAGGGAACTGTTCGATGACGGTGGCCCCTCTTTTCACTCCCAAATAGAAACTGAAAATGGTCCAGATATAATGATCTCAGAAATCGAGAGAGCTTTAAAGAACACCAAAAACGGGATAGCAGCTGGACCGGACAACATCTACCCAGAATTGATAAAACTAATAAACGGAGACAATTTAAAGTTATTGGTAAACCTCTTCAATTCTGTATACAATACTGGAAACATACCGCAGTAATGGCTAAGGTCGACATTTATACCTATTCCTAAAAAAACTGGTGCAAAAAGCGTTTAATAAGTCTGATGAGTCAAGTCCTAAAGCTGTTTTTAAAGGTTCTGCATAATCGAATCCGAAGAAAATGTGAGCTAGACATAAGTGAACAGCAAATGGGATTTCGCGAGGGACTGGGGACGAGAGAAGCCCTGTTTGCGCTATCGGTGCTTTTGCAGAAGTGCAGAGATCAACGAAAGGAGGTACACCTATGCTTCATAGACTACACGAAGGCATTCGACTGCGTCAACCACAGGGAATTGCTGAGCATCCTTGAAAGAAGAGGCCTGGATACCCAAGACCTGAAAATTATCCAAAAGCTATACGAACAACAAGTAGCGACAGTAAAACTACAGGACACTGAAACAACAGCAATACCTATCAAGCGTGGAGTTAGGCAAGGATGCGTATTGAGCCCTATGCTCTTCAATATGTACTCCGAACTAATATTTCGAAATGCGCTTGAGGGATCAGAAGACGGCATAAAAGTGAATGGCAGGCTGATTAACAACATGAGATATGCTGATGATACCGTCGTTATTGCAGACACCACTGAGGGCCTGCAAAGACTTCTTGATAGACTGTCCTCGGTGGGCGACTCAATGGGTCTCAGGATAAATACAAACAAAACAAAAGTCATGGTGATAAATAGAGATGCAAGACAGGCAACGGAGGTAGTCGTAGGTGGGACACCAATAGCAAGAGTCTCAAAGTTTAGATATTTGGGCAGTTGGATTAGTGAAGACCTAAACCCAGACATTGAGATCAGAGCTCGAATTGAGATGGCTAGATCAAACTTCCTAAAATTGCGGAACCTACTGTGCGATAAACGTCTCAACATCCATATAAAAGACAACTTCGTCAAGTGCTACGTACTTTCCACACTTCTCTACGGGGTTGAGTCGTGGACACTCAAAGTAAGCGCAATGAATAAGTTGGAAGCATTTGAGATGTGGGTATATCGCAGAATGCTGAGAATACCATGGACTGACCGTATCTCGAATGAACGAGTTCTAAACCAAATGAACAAGGACCGAGAACTCCTCGACATAATAAAAAAGAGGAAAGCAGCCTATTTGGGCCATATCATGAGACATAGCAAGTATGAATTCCTTCAGCTCATCAACGAGGGTAAAATTGAGGGAAAGCGCGGACCCGGACGACGGCAATGCTCCTAGCTGAAGAATATCAGAGATTGGACAGGCCTGGACTCACATACTTTGCTGAGAAGAGCGAAAAATAGAGAGGAATTTACCATGGTTGTTGCCGATCTTCACTGAATGGAGAAGGCACTTTAAGAAGAAGAACGTCAATATTTGGATGAAAATTGGTGTCTGGGGAGTTTTTTGACATGAGAAATTTGATTTTGATGTCAATATGGACTCCTACTGGTAGAGGGCGCCACGTACATGTGTTTTAACTGTTTTGAAGCGTAATAACTTTTTGTCCGTACCTGTATAAAACTACCGAGGTAAAAATATACATCTCTGTGATTTTTTACGTAAAAAATATCTCTTTGTAAAAATCGCCACGAGCAACAGTTCTCAAGATATTTAGAATGGAAATAGTCAATACATGCCATTATTGACGAAAAATAAGCTTGTTGAGTTAGATAGTTATTTCATTGAAATAAATAAATTTGGGAAATTTTTATTTCTTTAAATTAATCATCTTTTTCTGCAAAAAAATTATGATAAAACAGTTTTTGTTAAATTTTTGGTACAAAAACATTTCAAATTTATGATCTCAGTCTAAAAACTATTTAGTCAACATGTTTAATTTATGTCAGTGATGACAGATATTATTGATAATTTCGATTCCAAATATGTCGAAAACCATTACTCGTAGCGATTTTTACCAAGAGACCTTTTTACGTAAAAAGCGTCGTAAATATATATTTTTTTACTCAGTAGTTTTATACAGGTACGGACGAAAAGTTATTACTCTTCAAACCAGTTAAAAAATAAGTAGGTGGCGCCCTCTACTAGTAGGAGTCATATTGACATTAAAATCAAATTTCTCATGTCAAAAAACTCCCAGACACCAATTTTAATCCCAATATTGACGTTACTGCAGAAATTATTTGGAAAAAATCGAAATAAAAATGAAACTTCTACACCCTGTATCTCAGAAACGAACCATTTTTGGACATACATCTAAACGAACATTTTTACTTATTTTTATCTGCAGAATATGCTGCCGAAGTTTCGGGAATACAGTTCGGATCACCCTGTATATTATTTTTGTAGTAATACATCCATAATTTATTATACAGGGTGGCACATCTAAGAAAAACATCTGAAGAAAATATTTTATGCGTTTATGTTGGAAGGCAATGTGCATAATTTAAAATTAATTTTAATTGTAGAGCGTGTGTCAGAACTAAGATTAAATACCAAAGTTCTACTTTTTCTTATGAAATACCCGGTATTTTATTCCATTTTTGGATTCTCGTAACTAAAAAAGGCATTTATTATAAGGGTTATATGTTTAAAAACTTTGTTTTTTGTAAATAAATAACACATTTTTTGATAATAAAAAATTTGAAATAAAATTTTCTAAAAAACTTAATTGCTTCCTTAAATCTATACAGGGGTATTAAAAATTGATGATCTATTTTAAATATTTATTTTACATTAAAACTTCGTTATTTCAAATGCAACACTCTGTATTTTTTAAAATACAGAGTGGTGCAAGTCGAAGCAGATTTAAATGCTCTTTCAAACTATAATAGGATTTCTTATACAAATCTCGCTCAGATTTTGAATAAAGATTTTGAAACCAAGAGGTCTGGTGTCGTTATGGCAATTTTTTAGTGACAGTTAGTAGCTATTTTCAAAATATATAAACTTTATTTAAATTTATAGCAGATTACTTTTATTTAATTTACCTACAATAGTTATAGTAGTTTAGAACAAATAGTTTTTCAAAAAAATGCTTATCAGGAAGATTCCTATTTGAATATCTTTGAGTTTTGAATACCTTTCAGGTCAATAAGCAATTTTCCTCACAAAATAAAATCACTAGTAACATATCCATTCGTTCCATCAACAGAAACTGCTTCATTTTCCTTGTTAAAATTATAAATACTTACTTATTAAATTATTGCAGGTAAATTAAATAAAAGTAAACTGATATAAATTTAAAATTGATAAACTAATTTCTATTTTGAAAATAGACACTAAAAATCAACCATCTTGATTGCCAATTTTTTGCAAAATCGCTTTTTATTCATAACTTAATTAATTATTTCTTCGGTTAATATTTCTTAAGGAAGCAATAACATTTTTCAGTAAAGTTTGTTTATCTACCTTTAAACATAACACAATAATTAATTCTGAAAAATAATGTACAGGGTGGGTCAAATTCGACGCTTTTAAATGGAAACACCCTTTTCTATAGGAGACAAAAACTAATATCGGTGTCTGGAGCTCAATTTTTGTCAAAAACATCGATATCTGTTACCGTTTCGGAGTTACGGGGTGTTTTTCAAAAATATGCATTTTTAACAAATCGCTGTAACTTTTTTGCTATGGAAAATTTTGGATTTTTATGAAAACATTTCCAAAGCACCTTTTTACGTAGAATTTAATGGTTCAAGTATAATTTTTTTAAAATTAATAATTTAAAAATTATCAACAGAAAATTTGATTTTTTATATGGGACACCCTATATATTTTTAATTTATTGAAAACAATTTAAAATTGCCTTTCCAAAAATATAACACACTTGATATTTTACTCGATTCCTCATCGAGATATAGAGTATATAAAAATTTGCTCGCTTTAAATAAGTAGGCTTTGAACGGCACCGGCTGTAATACAAAAAAATTCTAGCTGTGAGCATCAATTAAAACGAAAATAATATTTGCTATGAGAAATGCAGAATTTTAAAACAATTTAAAATATATTTAACCAACATCAACACATTTAAACTATATCTAATAATAAAAATAAATAGCAAACCAAGACATGAGATTTTGCTACAGATGTTCGACATATCGACCGTCTTCTGTTATGGACAGACGGGGCAGTTTTTGAACATTTCTCACGGAAATCATTAACTCAGTAGGGGTGAAAGATACCCTTTCATAACTGCTAAGTATTTCTAATTCTTGTCTAGATTATACGGAAGAATAAGGAACCTTTATTCTTCCGCAAATATATCCATA